AGGGAGATTTTTATTTCCTTTTTTTTTTTTTTTTTTTTTTTTTAAAACACAGTATTCTTATGTGCAAGTATACCATATTTTATCAGGTCATCTGTTATTGGGTACATTATTGTGTCTTTGCTATTGTGAAGGACTGAATGAATTTAAATAAGTTGACAGAATCAAGGGAGGTGTATATGTAGTTCAAGGTTTTCAACTCTAAATTTTTGAATTTTTTTTTCCTTTTACCATGTAGTAATTTCCTTGCTTGGTAGAACTTGGAAGAAAATGGTCTTAATGCATATTTAATCTAAAACTTCACTTGAATAATAACTTTAAATGACTGTTCTTTGGAGGCACGTTTATATAATTAAGGATTATATTTTCTTAATCAGTTGAGATTTCACTGTTAGATTATTATTATACTTGACTATGAATCCCTTATTATCTTACTAGGTTTCAGTGACAATGGAAAACACTTAATTCCCGGTTCTTTTATGCAGATACCCCTGTGCATCTGGAATAAATATATACCAGGACTTCCGTTTTCCTATTGTTTTTCATTATAAAGTTTCACTGGAGTGTTGACGATGTGGCAGTTCACTGATCATGGGTTCCATTGCTCATTGCTGTGATAGATTAGTGTAGGAGTTTTTAGTTTAGAAAAGTGGGAAATTTAAAATCCAATAACTTCGAAACTTCAAGTAATGTATAGTGAATTTTTTGGTTCAAATTACTAAGAGGAAAAACTTGGTGTATCATTTTGTTTTACATAAACAAATGTCCTATCTTTAAGGAGTTTGGTACTTTAAACTTCCTTTTTTTTTTTTTAACCTAGAATAATTCTAGTGTAATACCCATTGGAGAAACAGATGAAATATCTCTCTATAATTTTCCTGTAGGACCAAAAGAAATGTTTTCCACATAAATTGAAATGTACTTCATTTTTATAGGAAAAAATAGCTTTGCCCCCCCACCTCCTTTTTTTTTTTTTTTTTTTTTAAATGCCTTTTTTGAGACAGGGTCTTCCTGTATGCCCAGCTGGCCTGGAACTCACTGTGTAGACCAGGCTGGCCTTGAACTCACAGAGATCCGCCTGCCTCTGCCTCCCAAGTGCTGGGATTTAAAGGCGTGCACTATGGTGCCTGGCCTTCACATGTGCTATTTTTAAAATTGAAGAAAATAAATTGGGAAATTTTGATTGTAGTGTTTGCATTACTTTTTAACCAGTTTCAGAATCTAGTTTTATTGAGATAGGGTCTTATTTTTTATTTTTAGCCCAGGTTGGCTTTAAAATCACTTTGTAGCTCTGATTGGCCTCAAAATGGGCTCCTACCAGTGCCTGTCCCATCACACTGGAGTAGTTGTGGTTAATCAGTTAACCCAAGTTTTATTATTCTCAGTGTTCTGATGAAGTATTTAAAAGTTCCAAGATCCAGGCTCAATGTGTTGCTCACTGGTAGAGCACTTGTTTAGTATGTGTGAGGCTACAGGTTAATTAACACCCCAGTACCATCAAAAGCCAAACAAATCTCCAAAGTCCTTACTTACAAAGTATTGCAAACAAATAATAGGATTTTAAATTTCTTAATTTTATTCTTTATTCTTTTATTCTTTCCAAAGTAGTGTAATGCAAATAAAATTTTCATAAACAGTAACCAAAGTCTACTGCATGTCTGTCTACAAAGGGGAAAAAGATTTTCGTTTTAACACTTAATGTATTTTGAAGGTGAGCTTGCCACCTAGTGGCCATTTATAGAATTGTGATTAAAAGCAAAACTAAATTTTCCTAAAGCTGCATTGATGTGAAAGGAAGACAGTAGCTTATCTTGCCACCTTCCCAAGGGTTAGATGAAATTATTCAACATCTTGTGTAATTGTCACTAACTCTAGAATTGTAATTATTTCAGTAAAGATAGAAACCATTTTTGTTGTTGGAGAAGGGAATCCTGGCCTACAGGGAACCAAAGGTTTCTAGGTAATGCTGAGTAGTTTTTTCAGAGGCTGGGAAGATGACAGGAACCATAGTAGTAAAGCAGTTAAAAAGAATACTATATAATATGAATAACAGTAAACCATATTCCTCAACAGGTGGAAATCTTATTAGGTCATTGACTTAACTGTGTAGTTAAGGTTGTTCTTTTCTTGATGTAGTGGCTTCAGTTTTGATCATGCACAGTGGGAAAGGTAATGTAATTTTCTAGGACAGTGTTGCTTCCTTGCTCTCACATTGGAAAAATCTCACTCACATTCTCATCACAATTCTAAATTTCAAGGGTTGATAGTTCTTCATGTCACCAAAACTTGTTTGCTGAACATCACCAAAGTGATCTGCATTTCTTAAATTTAGCCTGTTACTGGCCCTACCAGGAAAAAATTATACTACTACTTTCTCTTACTTGTTTTAGTTAGTTATCCATTTATTTTTCACAGATGAATACCAGCCACGCATACCCTTCTACATAGAACTCTATTTTAAGTTTTTTTTGTTTTTGTTTTTTCCCTCTGGCATCTGCTTGAGTTCTTTCTGAACTCTACTTACCCCGGGATTTGCTTTTACAATTAAAATCCTTCTGTCTGCATACTTGCTCAGTGTTTGCTTCTTTCTCATTAAATAGTAAGGTGGAAAGTGAGGCGGCAGAACAAAAACCCAACCTACTTTGTTTATTGTTTTGAAACGGTTTGCTGTATTGCCCCTGCTGGCCTTGAACTCAAAATTCTTCTGTCTCAGCATCCTGAGTGCTGGGATTATAGGAGTGCACTACCAAACCTGGCTTATTCTGCTGAAGCGGTTTGTCACAAACATAAAGTCAAGGACCACTAAATTCTTGGAAGGTTTCTTGCCATGTTTGTTTTCTAGCATGGTTTTAATCTTCCTGCTCTAGAAAATGTGCATTTGCTCAGCCATTTCTAGTAACTGAAGGTTCAGTGTGGTTGGAAGAAGACCCGATAATAAAGGATTTTATTGGTCTTGTGTGAATATTCACTAGAAAGAAGCAATGTGTCTTAAATATCTAACACCCGTATTATTTTATTTTAAAACTTATTTTGACTGTGTTTTGCAGAATAGATTAGCCTTCAAAAACTGAAAATGAGGGTGACGAGTTTGAAGAAAGCTGTTGTAGTACTTGTAGATAAAGTTACTATGGCTAGAACTAGGAATTGGGCTAGATGTTGGAAAAAGATGAGGCATGTCATAAGGATCTATTGGAGAATTTTTAGAACTTAGTGTTACCTGTTGTGAAATGTATCTTTATCTCTACTCCTACCTGTAAGGTTTGTGCTTAAACAGCTGGATACATTTGTAGTTAGGAGAGAACCACAATTGTAACCAAGAGAGAACCACAAAATTTAGTAATGACTTAAAGAGTGAGAGAAATTTATATGTATTTCTCACTTAATAATGTTAAATGATTGTTGCTTACCTCAGTGTACCATTAATATTTAACCATATCATCAGGTCAAGTGGTGACTATTTCATATAGTCATCCAGGAAACCAGGTTGGAAGATCTGCCATCTTCTACACATGCCTTGCAAGGCTGTTGCCAGAAGTGAGAAAAGAGGAGGGAGGAGTATTGTGAGCCGTGCCTAGAAATGGCTCTTACCACATGTATTCCTGTTCCATTGGAGAGCACTGGCCATATGGCCATACCTCACTGCAGTGAGGATGGGCAATGTAGTATAGCTGGGCAACTGCTATAGAAGAAAGGAAGAACAGATTTTAGAGGACAGCTATCGGTCTCTGCCACAAATGGTGATGCTGTATGCTGAGACAGGAAACAGGAAGAGTGAAGCAATTTGCAGCAGAAGGTAATAAATTTACTTTTGAAATGTGTTATGATGTAGGTACTTATAGGACTTCTAAATTTGCACATCTAATAAGAATAGGTAAATGACCTTAGTAAGATGACAGCATCAATTGGAAAAAGGTTTATTTTTCTCTAGCAATATGATGATACAGGAATTTAAATTTTATTTTATGATATAAAATGGAATTTGAAGGTATTGAAAATATAAAGGCAAAATAAAGGGTACCAGGAAAAGATTCTATTAAGTAGTTTATTAAGTAATTATAACATGTCAGTTAATTAAAACTATCCATAAGTTCTTATTCTTCCAGATACTGACCTGAGAAGTACCTAAAGGCTAAGTTTTAGAGATAGTTATAAAAAGCAGACCAAATCCCTGTCTCATTTATGTGGTGCTAAGAGAAGTGCAAGGAAAGAACTTAAATAGCTTCACAAATTAGATGAAAGAGTCACTGTAAAGACCATATGAGTGATGGCAGTGACTGGGGGTGTCACTGGGCAGCTCTTATATACAGCCTGTGAGATTGGAACTAAGACCTGAAAAATAAGAATGAGAAAATCTAATGAGGACCCAGGCAAAGAGCATTTCAGTTGTAAAGTAGGAGCTTAGTGGTGACTAGACTGGGAACCACTCAGAAGTTCTACACTTGGATGATAGGAACTAGAGTGTACAGGCTTGTTATAAATTGAGGGAGGTTTAGGTTTTATGTAGTTACAATGGGATATGACCTGATTCTATGCTTTAAAAACAACAAAAAGTTTAAAAAATGAGTGTGTGTGGGGGGGATAAGGATGGAGGCAAGGAAACCAGCGACTATACTGTTGAAGTACCAATAGAGTGACACCAGTGGCTCAGTCTTGGGTTGTTGCTGTTGAAATTGTGAAAGAGTATTGGATTTAAGATCAGTTTGTTAGCTGGGCATGGTGGGCAGAGGCAGGTGGATCTCTGAGATCGAGGCCAGCCTGGTCTACATGGTGAGTTCTAGGCTAGCTGGGGCCAGGGAGACCCTGTCTGAAAAACAGGGAAAGAGAAGTGAAGCATGAAGAATGGCTCCTGACACACATCTTAGGAGGCTGAGACAGGAAGATTCTAAGTTTGAAGCCAGCCTGGACTACATGATGGGTACCCTGCCACCTACCACCGAAAAAAAGAAAGGAGGACCCTTTGATTTCTTATTTATGTTGCAGAAGCTAGGTAGATATTAAGAGTATGCCCCAGATTTCTTGTACCGGTAGTTAACTGATGAATAATCTTGTCTATCTCGAAGGTAGGGAAAATCATAACCACACCTATTCTCTTCCCCTGCCTCCCCCCACTTCCCAAGCTCTGCAATTCCTGGGATCCTATGGAGGAAAAATACTGTAGTCTGTCACCATACAGATGGAAAGTCACTGATAGAAACTAGATTTGGAAGTACTTGGAAAACTAATTAATAGTTATACATTAAATATTTTGTGAGATATACTTAGAAGTGTATTTTTGTCTAGTTTTGTGTTTAATAATTTTTGAATGTGACTATTCAAAATTTGATAAGGCCGTTAAATTAAAACTATTTTTAACTACTTAAAAAAACTAATACATTGCCTACAACTTGATGTGTAAAATAATCATTTTTAAACACTCCTTTTAAATAAAGATTTCATCACTGAATTTTGCATGTTCTCCATACTTCCATATTTTTAATTTAAAAATTTACAGATTTATATCAGTTTAAATATTTTTTTGAAGGTAGGTACCCAGTATCACCTTCATGACATAGGTTTCAAGTGCTTATAACCCATGAAATATCCTTAAAACTAATCCTCAGTATGTGTTATAAGATTTCTTCTCCCATCCAGTTAATTCATAAAGTGTCACCTAATGTTATAGAGTCACAGACATTTAAGTGCTGTACTATCCCCAGAGTTTTTCTGGGCTTTGTGTGTGGATTCATATTAAAGAATGGTGGTGCTGATGGGGAAAGATAAAAAGTATATAGAGTTCAAGACAGTGGTAAGTATCTGAAGATGAATTGAGAGTAGAGATGAGATTTTTATGCCAGCAGATCTTTCATTGCGTATGAAGGAATTACAGGATTTAGGTGAGAAAAATTGGGAAGGAACTGCAAATTTAAAAGGAGTTATGTTCAGATAAAATCATTCTTCCGGTTTATTAGAGCAGGTAGGGCGTGGTGGTGCATGCCTGTAGTCCCAGCACTTGGGAGGCAGAGGCAG